GGAACGCATTAAACCATGTTTAATGCGTTCCAATGGAATTCCCTGCCCCGTTCAACGATGCTTCAGCATAGCGAAGGTTAATCCGGAACGGATTAACCTCGCTATGCGAGGCACCACTGTATCTTAAAAAGCAGAGACATCACCTTGCCAACAAAAGTCCGAATAGTCAAAGCTATGGTTTTCCCTGTAGTGATGTACGGAAGTGAGAGCTGGACCATAAAGAAAGCTGACCGCCGAAGAATTGATGCTTTTGAATTGTGGTGTTGGAGGAGGCTCTTGAGAGTCCCCTGGACTGCAAGGAGAACAAACCTATCCATTCTAAAGGAAATCAAGCCTGAGTGCTCACTGGAAGGACAGATCCTGAAGTTGAGGCTCCAATACTTTGGCCATCTCATGAGAAGACTCCCTGGAAAAGACCCTGATGTTGGGAAAGTGTGAAGGCAGGAGGAGAAGGGGACGATCGAGGATGAGATAGTTGGACAGTGTCACTGAAGCGACCAACATGAATTTAACCCAACTCCGGGAGGCAGTGGAAGACAGGAGGGCCTGGCATGCTCTGGTCCATGGGGTCACGAAGAGTCGGACACGACTAAACGACTAAACAACAACAACAGCATGGATAGGTGCTATTAATTGCAAATGAATATAGTTGGACTTACGGAAGTATTTCAGTGTCTCTTCTATTTGCTCAGTTGTTAAGTCAATATTAGCATCAGGAGAAATGAGAGGAGTGTGAAGCCAGTCGTCGTGATCATAACCATAGATTGTATCTGCTCTTAGCTTGTAGTGGGGCAGCTGCTCTTCCAGCAAACTGATGATTTCAACTTCAGGAAGATCAGTACTATTGCACACATCTATAAGGGGAGGAAAAGAAAGCACAAAAATAGTGTAAAATGTCTTTTCAAGAAAAATAGGACTCTCGTGATTTAATACGAGGGGCTGCTGAAAGGTATTTGCCATACCCAGAAAAAACTGAGGTAGGAAACTGTAAATTGCAGGGTGTATTGGCCAATTTGTCTATATTCAATGGTCCAAACATCAACTACCTATGATTTTAACTTATATTTCATTTTCAGCTCCAAAGTGAACATGGCAGCACCTCTAGAAACATTCAATGTGGAAGAGCATAGGAACATAAACAAGTTCTCCACGGGAAAGTTGCAAAGCAGATCCATGAGGAAATGTCACAAACTAAGGGTGACAGTGGCCCTTCATATGCAACAGTTAAACATTGGGTTATCAATTTTAAAACTGGCCACTTTGGTGTTGAAAGTAAGAAACCCAGTGGAAGGCCTGTTTCTGTCTCTGCGCCTGCAAATGTGAAAGCCATCCATGACATGATCATGGAGGACCGCCGAATATCAGCCAAATCTATCACTTTACACTGAGGTAAGTCCTCAACCTTCAGCAGTGCGTAGCATCTGTGCCATAGACAAGCCTGATCTTTGAAAAACACTCTACTCAGTACTTTGCAGGTACTTGAACATGGGCTTTGTGATTCCTTAGAACTCACAACAGCTCAGTTAAATAGGACTTCCCTGTAGCAGCCTTTCCACTCCTCTGGATTTAGACAAATCCTGCTAATCCAAGATACTAGTCCTTCATGAGTTTTTATATATATAAAAATTCATAGAAACAGTTGTTTGCTTAAGCGGTAGCAGATTAATATGTTCAAACATTACAGTAATTAAATAAAGCAGTTATTATTAGAAATAACCAACTCTAAGATCTAAGCTGTGGTGGGCTAATCCCACCCCTCCGTCTTCTTACCATTCTACATACTGCAAACATCCAGCTACATAACTCAATCCATCAGAAAATCCCCTCTCAGCTTAGCATAAGCTAAGAGAAGCAAGCTTTCTACATGATTTCTCCTCCATCTTTTCTACATTCCTTGGACTTCCTTTTTCATTGCTGTAAACCAATTAACTCAAAGAGGCATAACTGTTCACGCAGCCTCCAATTCTCATGGAGATGCAGGTGTGTTATCTCCTTGAAACATTTTGAAAAACAGGCCCGGGTTTCGGCACCCTTCACACCCACAGTCTGGTTCCAATAAGTGGATGACATCTTCGCAATTTTAAAAACAGTGAAGAAAAACGGGAAGAATTTCTAAACCATCTAAACAGCATCCATCCAAATAGTCAATTCACCATGGAAAAAGAAATAAGAGGCCCAAATCCCGTTCTTAGATGTTACGGTCATACACAAAACTGACCTCCTATTGGGACACAAGGTCTACAGAAAACCCACCCACACAGACCGGTACCTACACAAAAACTCCAACCAACACCCACAGCAAAAAAGAGGTATAATCAAAACACTGGTAGACCAGGCAAATCGGAACTGTGAAGCTCAGTTTCTTAGCACTGAACTCAACCATCTGAATTGGGCCCTACAGGCGAATGGCTATATCAAGAATGAAATCAAAAGAGCCATCAAACCAAGAAAACAACACCAAACTGAAGAGGAAAAACAGCCACCCACAAATAAAGTATTTCTGCCATACATCAAAGGGGTCACGGACCGCATGGGGAAACTTTTGAAAAAACACAACCTACAAACATTATTCAGACCCACCACAAAAATACAACAAATGTTACAGTCAGCAAAGGACAAAAGGAACCCCCTCACCATGGCAGGAGTATACCAGATACCTTGCAGTTGTGCACAGGTATATATTGGAACCACAAAACGCAGCATTCACACCAGAATCAAAGAACACGAGAGACACTGCAGACTAAAACAACTGGAAAAATAAGCAGTAGCTGAATATGCCCTAAAACAAGCTGGATATGAAATTCTTTTTCAAAATACTGAAGTACTGGGCAACATCAGCAATCATTATGTTAGACTGCACAGGGAAGCCATTGAAATCTATAAACATCAACAGAACTTCAACAAAAAAAGGCCTCAAACTAAACAAGGCCTGGCTTCCAATACTGAATAATACAGCCTGCAAAAGGTCAATGAACTCTACCCAGCCACAAGGACCAGGGATCATTGCACAAAAAAGACCAGCTAACGACACCCATCAATCACAGTGACAGATAATCTCTCCCTTATCACAACAAAAACACATTCATCACCCTATCTCTTGAAAAGGACAAAAGCTGTTCCCACAGCTATAAATATCCAACTATCCAACAAACAGCAACAGAGCATGGACAGAGTTCCTACTCCAATCCTCTGAAGATGCCGGCCACAGAGACTGACGAAACATCAGGAAGAACAACCGTCAGAACATGGCCAAAGAGCCTGAAAAACCCACAACAACCATGATTTCATTTTATTAATAAGACTGTTCTGGAAAAGGAAGCTGCTGCCATCTGGTGTTCAGGAATCTTACTGACAAAAATTCTAACTTTCCCCTTCCCCACAAGCTTTCTATGATACAGTTAAACTCTAGAGAGTAACGCAAGGAATAAATTAAGATCAATATCTCAATGTGAGAGGAATAAGTTAAGCGCAATCTACTCCTCTACAGTAAAGAAAATAATGCAGATGGAATGGAAACAATGTGACTACAACTTAAACACACACACACTGCCGCAGCCTTGGATGCACATATGAAAAACTGGATTAAAAGACATAAAAGAGGAAGAAATATCAGTGGAAGAAACATTAATAATCAACTTTTTGGGACCGTGGACTGGCTGAGCCTCTGAGGAAGGCGGACAACCCCCCGACACTCATGCGGGTGTGCTCTCGGGCACAGACCACCTGCATGCCCAAGCACCTGCCCACCCCTTCACGCAGGTGCTCAGGTGCATTCATGAAGGGGTGGGGGAGCGCTCATGCAGGCACTGGCACGCATGGGCATGCGCAAAGCAGCTGTGGGGAGGTCAGTGTGTGCGGGGGCGGGGCAGGAGGTCTGTCTCTGCACCCCGGTCCAGCTCAGGCAACAGACGGGCACCGGGTTGCGGACAGGGAGTTGATGACCTCTGATGTAGATGACACCATACTATGGGCAGAAAACTGTAATGCCTTAAAACATATAAATAAATATAAAACATAATATATGTTTATATATAATATATATTTTAACAGTTGTTCAGGGCTCTTGGAGTGTCACAGAACTTGAAAGGGAACCAGGAAGAAAAGAACCCAAGAGAAGTTTTCCCATTCACATTAAACCAAAGGGTTGGCATGCAAAAATTTAAAAAGGAAAGGAAAGAGGCACATAAAAAAGGGAAAGAAATACATCTTTTTCTTCAAGCACAATTCTAATCAAGACTAATGATCCCTAGATTGGTATTTCCAGTTAATACACACAAATATGAAGCATTAACGTTGAGGAAAGCTGACGGGGAAAAAAGTGATTCATTGCAATGTAGTGTTCGTTATGAAATTTACAAAACTGTATGGAACTGCCAAAAAGACAAATAAATGAGTTCTAGATCAAACCAAGTCTGAATTCTCACTAGAAGCTAAAATGATTACATTGCTATTAATATTAATAATTTATTTTTCTTCTGGTTTTTTTCTTTTGTTTATTTTCTTTCTTTAACTGTCATACTGCTATATATGTGTATGTGTATGTTTGAACATATAAACCATCTGGAATAGTGCATGCACTAATGGGGTGGTACAGAAATCAAATAAATAAACTGAGGGGATCGTACTTTGGATTTATCATAAGAAAACAAGATTCACTGAAAAAGAGAGTAATCCTAGAAAAGGATGAAATAAATAGAAGAGGAAGACCAAACGTGATATGGATTAATTAAATAAAGGAGCTCATGGCCTTGAGTGTGCAAGATCTGTGCAGGTCTGTTAATGATGCATCCTTCTAGAGGTCACTATAATCTGACGGGTCAAGTTCCATTGATCTCAGTGAAAATCACTTCTGACTGCATTGGATTGTTCTATTTCTCCTGCCCCCTTTCATACACATTCACTTTCTTGACTATACATGCAAGAGGATGGAAGAATCCCTCGGAGTTGGGACAATAAAACAGGCCAAGGTCTAACACTTTTCTGGGACTTTGCACACCTTGACAGACTCATCCTAGCACCAATTTTTTTGGCAATGTCTGAACTGTCACTATGTACAAGATGGGAACCAAGAAATTGCAAGAAAAAAAAGCCAAATTCTTTTACCTAGGACTAGAAAATGCTCTCTAATCCCACAACAGGGCAATTGTCCTTAGTAACAAATTAAGAGAGAGAAACATACAGCAGGTTGAGAAACAACTGGTAATGAGAATTAAATCACTTGTTTCAAAGGAGTAAAAAAAGAGATGAGAAATGTTAAAATAATCTATCAAAACCAGCCTAGGCCAGGTGCTTTGGCCAAGATGATCAACCAAGTTTGGGGGTTTATCTGCCTACTGTTCTCTGAGGGAGATCTGATCCCACCAAAACAAAAACAAAAATGTTTGGTCTTGTTACTGAAAAATCATCTAATTGACAGGTATGGAGAGCTACCAAGAGACTGAATGAAGTAAGCAAAAAAAATTATAACTACAGTGGTGTCTCGCTTGACGAGGATAATCCATTCCAGCAAAATCGCTGTAGAACGAAATCGTCGTCAAACAAAAGTAAAAATCCCATTGAAATGCATTGAAAACCAGTTCAATGCATTCCAATGGGTGAAATATCTCAGCGTCCAGCAAAGATCCTCCATAGGGCAGCCATTTTCGGATGCCTGTAATGCGAGGAATCCATCCTAAAACATAGTGGGGAGCCATTTTGCACAGCAGATGGCCATTCTGAAGACCTGATGATCAGCTGTAAAGATCGTCGTTAAGCAAAAAATCGGTTCCCGAAGCAGGGAACCGATCGTTGTAAAGCGGTTTTCCCTATTAAAACATTGTTTTGTGATCACTTTTGTGTAAACTTTATCGTAAAG